AATTATCGCAGTCGATTACTCCGTGTACCCGAGGCAGATTCTAATTGGATTGTGCCGGCCGGCGCCGAAAAAAGGCCATCTCAATACACATCCTTTCTTTGAAAATGCTGACTTTTTGCTTCCAGCGCCCGGGAGGCCTCCCGGGCCGATTCCGCAGCGGGGTCCGGGCCGATTCCCAATAGGAACCTGCATACTGGATACACGGAGTAATCGCACTCGATTACTGCGTGTATCCGAGGCAGATTCCAATTGGATTCCTATTGGAACCTGCATATGGGATACACGGAGTAATCGCAGTCGATTACTCTGTGTATACGATGCAGATTCTAGTTGGATTACAACTGGAACCTGTATATTGGACACACGGAATAATCGCACTCGATTACTCCTTGTATCCGATACACGGAGTAATCGCACTCGATTACTCCGCGTATCCAAGGCAGATTCCGATTGGATTCCGATTGGAACCTGCATATTGGATACACGGGGCAATCGCAGTCGATTACTCCGTGTATCCGAAGCAGATTCGAATTGGAGTCCTATTGGAACGTGTAAATTGGATACACGGAGCAATCGCACTCGATTGCTCCGTGTGTATCGGCGCCAGCAAGCGTCGCTAGTAACAACAACAACAACAATTATTCACTGCGTGGAGCTCCCCATATGTGCATCTACTCGCATGGACCTGTCCGCCGTGAATGTCTAGGCGCAAGAGCTTTCGAATATTAACGGGCTTCAGTTGTGACGGTCTGGACATCAATCTAACTGCGAATGAATTGGAGTGTGAATGAGCCTCAGTAGTACGAGCGCGTCTCTGTGCATGAGCCTGGGGCCTCCTGGGGCCTCCTGAAACCTACTAGGGTTTCCTGGGGTCTCCAGGAGCCTCTTGGGACCTCCTGGGACCTCCTAGAAGGTTTCGTGCCCCAGGGGAGGCGCAATCTATAGCAACTGACGTACATAAAACATTGCGGATTAGAGCCACAGGAGAAGGGCAATCTATAGGAACACGCGTAAAACACCAAGGACTCGTGCCCTCGGAGAGGCCCAATACATAGGAACATGAGTAAAACATTTAGGATTGTGTACACAGGAGAAGGACCATCTATAGAAACATACGTAGAACATCAAAGAATCGTGCTCCAGGTGAGGCCCAATCGATAGGAGCATACGTAAAACACATGGGATTGGAGCCACTCCTGTTGCCTTCTGAGGCCTCCTGCTCCTGGGGCCTCTCGGGGCCTCCTGTTGCCTTCCGAGGCCTCCTGGCGCTTCCTGTTGCCTCCTGGGGCCTCCTGTGGTTTCCTGAAGCCTTCTGGAGCTTCCTGGGGCCTCCTGGAGCCTCTTGGGACATCCTGTGGCCTCTTGAGTCTTTCTGTGGCCTCCTGATGCCTCCTGGGACCTCATGTGGTCTCCTGGGGCCTCCTGGAGCCTGTTGGAGCCTCCTGTGGCATCCTGAGAAGAATCTGCGCCCACGAGCCTGGCCACCAAAACTAGCAAACCGATCGAGGCATCCTCAAAATCTGGCCCACCTGGGGGGTGAAAATGAGCGCCTCGCTCGAGACATCCTCCAAATCTGCTCCGAAAGCGAAGGATGTTGGGCACAGAAACAAGCAAACCGCCTGAGACATCCCCACAAAATGGCCGCGAACGAGCCCGTGCAACCACCCCTGGCGGCTCCCCTTAGGGGTGCTGAAATGAGCGCCTCGCTCGAGACATCCTCCAAATCTGCTCCGAAAGCGAAGGATGTTGGGCACAGAAACAGGCAAACCGCCTGAGACATCCGCACAAAATGGCCGCGAACGAGCCCGTGCAAACACCCCTGGCGGCTCCCCTTAGGGGTGCTGAAATGAGCGCCTCGCTCGAGACATCCTCCAAATCTGCTCCGAAAGCGAAGGATGTTGGGCACAGAAACAGGCAAACCGCCTGAGACATCCCCACAAAATGGCCGCGAACGAGCCCGTGCAACCACCCCTGGCGGCTCCCCTTAGGGGTGCTGAAATGAGCGCCTCGCTCGAGACATCCTCCAAATCTGCTCCGAAAGCGAAGGATGTTGGGCACAGAAACAGGCAAACCGCCTGAGACATCCCCACAAAATGGCCGCGAACGAGCCCGTGCAACCACCCCTGGCGGCTCCCCTTAGGGGTGCTGAGTATGAGTAAGTCTGTGTATGTGTACGTCTGGGTATGACTAGTACTGTGTATGAGTAAGTCTGTGTATGAGTAAGTCTGTATATGAGTATGTCTGAGTGTGAGTAAGTCTGAGTATGAGTAGGTCTGAGTATGAGTAAGTCTGAGTATGAGTAAGTCTGTGTATGAGCAAGTCTGAGTATGTCCGACAGGAGGGGAGGAGAAAAGAGGAGGAGGAAGGAGAAGGAGTAGGAGGCGTCCAAGTAATAACAAGAACCCCATCTTAGGATATGGGGAACAACAACAACAACAACAACAACAACAACAACAACAACAACAACAACAACAACAACAACAACAACAACGACAACAACGACAACAACGACAACAACGACAACGACAGCGACAGCGACAGCGACAGCGACAGCGACAGCGTCGTCGTCGTGACGTCATCACCGTCATCATGATCCTCCTCCTCCTCCTCCCCCCGTCTCCTCCTCCTCATCTTCATCCTCATTCTCATCCTCATCCTCATCTTCATCCTCCTCATCCTCGTCCTCAAGCTCATCCTGCTCGCCCTCCTCCTCGTCCTCCGCCTCCTGATCCTCCCCCTCCTCCCCCTCCTGCTCCTCTTCCAACCCCTCCTCATGCTCCCATTTCTCCCTCGCAGGACCCTGCGCGCCAATATCCCGCCCATCGCGCGACCCGCGGGCGCGCCCACGCCAGCCCTTTGCCTGCGCCCGCGGTCGCCCTTGGCATTCAGCCTTGCCGCGCGGCGGGCGCGCAGGCTGAGCGACGCAACCGGGCCTGGCCGCTCCAAATGCCCTGCACAGCGCTGCTGCCCAGTGCCACCAGCGCCCGCCCAGCCGATCCCAAGACGACGACGACGACGAGGCTCGGACGCTGACTGTTACCGCACAGTCACGTCGGCCAGGGAGCGGCGCCGTGAAGGCAACCGCCGTGCGGAGCAGTCCATACTCCATGTCGACGAAGGCCGCCATCTTTTCCAGGTGGCGACGCAGCACAGCCGCGACGGCGCTGTGGATCCCAAGGCGCCCCGCACGGCCCTGGGGCAGAGAACAGCAAGATGAACGTGCTCGTCCAATGCGCTGAGGCGGGCAGGGCAGTCTAAGCTGGGCACGCTATCAACGGCGCATCCGCCGCGCGCAGGTGCGTCCTGGCAGGCGCAATGCTTAGGAATGCCCCCGTGCCCGGGGAATCAAAACAGAGAGGTCTTGACAAGGGCCAGCGACCCGGCAGCGACCCGGCACCCGGCACCCGGCACCCGGCACCCGGCACCCGGCACCCGGCACCCGGCACCCGGCACCCGGCACCCGGCACCCGGCACCCGGCACCCGGCGACCCGGCGACCCGGCGACCCGGCACCCGGCACCCGGCACCCGGCACCCGGCGACCCGGCGACCCGGCACCCGGCACCCGGCACCCGGCACCCGGCACCCGGCACCCGGCACCCGGCACACGGCACCCGGCACCCGGCACCCGGCACCCGGCACCCGGCACCCGGCCCCCCGCACCCGGCGACCCGGCACCCGGCACCCGGCACCCGGCACCTGGCACCCGGCACCCGGCGACCCGGCGACCCGGCACCCGGCACCCGGCACCCGGCACCCGGCACCCGGCACCCGGCGACCCGGCGACTCGGCGACCTGGCACCCAGCACCCAGCACACGGCAACCCATCGAACCCGGCACCCGGCACCCGGCACCCGGCACCCGGCACCTGGCACCGGCACCGGGCACCTGGCGACCCCGGCACCCGACCACCCGGCACTCGGCACCCGGCGACCCGGCGAACGGGCACCCGGCAACCCGGCAACCCGGACCCGGCCAACCGGCACCGGCAATGGCACCCGGCACCCGGCGACCCGGCACCCAGCGACCCGGCCCGGCGACCCGGCGACCCGGCGACCCGGCGACCCGGCACCCGGCACCCAGCACCCGGCATCCAGCGCCCGGCACCCGGCGACCCGGCGACCCGGCACCCGGCACCCGGCGACCTGGCGACCCGGCGACCCGGCACCGGGCACCCGGCGACCCGGCGACCCGGCACCCGGCACCCGGCACCCGGCGACCCGGCGACCCTGCACCCGGCACCCGGCACCCCGGCACCCGGCACCCGGCGACCCGGCACCGGGCACCCGGCACCCGGCACCCAGCACCCGGCACCCGGCGACCCGGCGACCCGGCACCCGGCACCCGGGCACCCGGCACCCGGCACCCGGCACCCGGCGACCCGGCGACCCGGCACCGGCACCCCCCGGCACACGGCCACCGGCACCCGGCACCCGGACCTTGGCAACCGGCACCCGGCGACCCGGCAACCGCCCCCATTGCACCGGCACCGGAACCCGGCGACCAGGCAACCCGGCACCCGGACACCCGGCATCCCGCGAAACCATTACCCGGGCACCCCGGCCCCCGGCCACCGGCCCCCGGCCCCCGGCCCCCGGGCAACCGGCACTCGGCGGCCCGGCACCGGCGACCGGCGCCCCGGACCCGGCACCCGGCACCCGGCACCCGGCACCCGGCACCCGGCACCCGGCACCCGGCACCCGGCACCCGGCACCCGGCACCCGGCACCCGGCACCCGGCACCCGGCACCCAGCACTCGGCACCTGCTGGCCGCCCGGCACCCGGCACCCGGCAACCCGGCGTCTTGGCAGCGACCCGGCACCCGGCGACCCGGCACCCAGCACCCGCGCGGCATCCGCGGCACCCGGCGACCCGGCACACGGCACCCGGCACCCAGCACCCGGCACCTGGCGACCCGGCGACCCGGCGACCCGGCGACCCGGCACCCGGCACCCAGCACCCGGCGAGGCACCCGGCACCTGGCACCCGGCATTCTCGGCTTGTCTTGTGGCCATCTTGGACCGTTTTGCGGCCATCTTGGGCCGTCTTCGGGCTGCCGCGTGCTCACGCGCGCTTCCCCACGGCACTCGCCGCGCGTCTGGGGAGCACTTCGCCTTTGGGCCCCCGCCAGCCCCAGCGGCGTTCCCTAGAAGCTGCGCGGAGCTTGAAAATATAACTAATCTGCGTGTGCACTGCTTCTGGACCGACGCACCCTGGTCTACTTACCTATCCTGCGCGCGCTCACGCCGTCTGCAGGCTCTCGCCGAGCAGCGCGCTCACGCGCTTGAACTCCTCGAAGTTGAACTCGTTTGCCTCGGTCTTCACGCCCATGGATTCCTGCAGCTTGCGCAGGACTTTGGCTGACAAACTGAGCCTCTCCTGGAGCTCCTTGTAAACGTCCTCGGCGTTCTCGGGGGGCGGGCTCCGAATGGAAACGCCTTGACCTTCAGCTGGATTCCACGCGGCCAGGCCAGCCGACACCATGAAGCGGAACGCCAGGCGAATCGCCGCTTCGATGGCGTCGGAGTTGCCATTGAAAGAATTCGCGTTCTTCGACAGCTTGCACGGATCCTGCGTCGACTGCATTGCCGACAGCAACACCTTCTTCACGATGCCGGCATCCTTCTTGAAGTCCTCCTGCTGCAAGGGCGGCTCGACGCGTAGCTTCTTCTGCGGCGGCGCCTCTGCACCCTCGGCCTCGTTGCCGGCAGGCGCGGATTGGGTCAGCCCACCCACCCCGTGCGCTGGTGCGTTGTGCGCCGCAGACCCCGCGGCTCCCCTGGGCGGCTCTGCAGCGACCTGGGACGCGGGGATGGGCTCTTTCGGTACATTCTCGATGCAGGGCGCTTCCACCGCCTGCAGCGCCACGAAGTCCACTTCCTTGCCGTCCAAAAGGTCCTTCAAACCGTGGCAGAGCCTACGTTTGCCAATCCTGCGCGTTATCCTGATCATTTGCTGTTGGGTTTCCTCTGCATGGATGAACATTTCCCACGTTGGCAATGTTCGTGTTCTCTGAGTACCTCAATAGTTCCTGGCCCCCCGGACTACAGGGGCCCCCCGGCTTTCAAGGGCCCCTCCCCCGGACTACAGGGACCCCCCCCCGGACTACCAGGACCCCCCCCCGGACTGCAAGGGCCCCCCCCCCGGACTACAGGAACCCACCCCCGGACTACAATGACCCGGACTACAGGGACCCCCCCCCGGGCTACAGGGACCCCCCCCGGACTTCAAGGGCCCCCCCCCGGACTACAAGGGCCCCCCCCCGGACTACAAGGGCCCCCAAAAAACCCACCCCGGACTACAGGGGCCCAGCCCCCGGACTACAGGGGCCGCCCCCGGACTATTGCGCACCCCAGAACTATTGAGGCACTCAGAGTTTCAGTTTCTACTTGGCACGGTGCGCGCTGAGAAGGCGGCGCAAGGGCCAAGACGCCGAATTCCCAAACACACACATGGAATCAGGATGCAGATAACGGTCAGGATTGACACTCGCAACGGAGCCTGTCTGCAACCGCTTGGTCGCCCTCCTCCCGGTCGTCAGCACCTCGCGGCACGAGCTGCCTCAACTCCTCGAGGGAGACGTCCGGGTCCCAGTCCATCATCCTGTTGGCCGCCCTGACGAAGTTCTCGTTGTCCTGCGCGTACGCTGCGAGGCCCACGCGTCCAGGGCCCACTGCCAGGAAACCCATCATGGTTAAGATGATGAGGTCCACGTGCACGGCGTGAATCTGTACCTCTGTCGTGCATGGATTCTGGGCGAAGGCCTTCATGTCCCAATTCTTGGCGACGTTGCGGAGGGTCGACATGAGGTTCACCCTCGCGCACACCGATGGGCTGACAATCTTTTCGATGGATGCCAGCGTGGCAGGAGGCATGGCTGCTAGCTTGGCGCGCTCCTGCATGAACGTCTGCGCCGTTTGCCTCGCATCAATACTCATGCGAAAGTTGCCCGAGAACCAGTCCCCCAACGCTACCGCCACGTCCACAGAAGGGCCTGCAATCCGCCCACCCCTTCGGGCGCCGTTCCGCGGGGGCCCCGGGGCGTCCCAAGATTTCCGCGATGCCTTAATTAGGACAACCGCAAAGCGGCCTCTAGCGGGCACAGGAAGGCCTCTGGATGGGGCCCTGGACAGCCTCAGCGGGCCCCGAGAGGCGAGAGGTCCCCAAGACGGGAACAAGACGACCCCAGAGACGACCAAGCGCAGCCCCAGAAAGCCCAATTCGGCTTCACCCCTAGAAGCCCCGACAAGGAACTAGGGGGCCTCCAAGGACAATCAAAGAGTACCACAAGACCGCCCCAAGACGGCCCTAGAATGCTCCATGAGAGCTTTCAGAAAATGGACGAGGGCGAAGAGGAGCAGAAGCAGGATGTGGAGGAGGTGGCGGATGAGGAGAAGAGGGGGGAGGGGCTGGAGGAGAGGAAACAGACAGACATTCGATCCGGCCGTGTCCCCCGCGAAGCGGCGTGCATCTCTGGGGCGATCGCGGTCACGTCCACAGAGTCAACGAAGTCATGGGGCACGGTGCCTTTCCCGAGGCACGTCACGATATCCTCGCCTGTCATCTCTTTGACCATCTCCGACGTCTTCCCAGCCTTCTTCAACAAATAGTCGATGACCTTCTCCCCAATGTCCACCGGGGGGATGAACTGGAGCGTTCTCGTCATGTCCTTCCGCGCAGCGGCATACTCGCTGTTCTCCTCTGCGCCTTTAGACGCGCGTGCCTCCTCCCGTACGCAGTCCGCTGCCCTGTTAAATTGCTTGCGGAAGTGGTCCTTCACTTCTGGTTTCCACGGCAGGAAGTGCGTCCCCCGCACCCTGGAGTACCTGTTGTTGTCTTTCTCGTCCGCACGCTCTACGCCTCGCACATAAAGCGCCGATGCCACCAGCATGATCTTGCCAATGGCGGTTACGACGTCGTCGTAGTCAAGGTCGTTGAAGTAGTCCGGGTCGTCCTGCAGGAGGCGCGTAATTTGAGATGGCGGCACATCTGGACGGATTTTGTTAACAACAGCTGGGAAGTGGCCAATCAGGAAACGCATCATGCCCGCGGTCGTGTCGGGCTTCTGCGCCTGGTCGTACAGTTCTTCGATGTGCATCATGACCGCTCCGCACAAGTGCGGGTTTCGCACTGGGAATCGGTTCTGCGTATTCCCAGGATGGTTCTTGTACATGTCATGATCGTGAATTTGGTTCAGGTCGTCGATGCCGCCGCCTGGGCCGTTGTCGAAGGTTTGCGGTAACCATGTCTTCCCCTCGTGTAGAGCAAGAAATGCTGTCTCCCCCTGCGCCTGCATGAAATTCCCGAGGCCGATGAAGGTCCCCTTGTTGAAGATGGTGTCTTTAACGTGTTCTTTTTTCGCTGGCTCTGGGTGGTTCTCTGGGTCGTCCTTGCGCTTCTGGCAGGCCTCGTCGTGCTTTTTCTTGGCGCGCCTCTCCCGTATCATGTCGAAGAACGCCAGCACTTGTACGTCCAACCACAGCGCAACCGACTTGCCATCCCCAGGTTGGCCATGTTGGAGCATGAGCAGATTGCAATGTCGGGATAGTATTCCACCGTACTTGATCTGGACTGCCCCGAGCGTTGTGGCCACCAGAATCACGAGGTGGACGTACACACACGACGCATGCAGTGAGGCCGCCTGTCCCAAGGCCGAAGCCACAGCCCACATGAGCGGGGTTGCCCGCCGCACTGCCTGCTCGGGGAATGGGTTGTGGCTCTCCAAGATCCGGCACACAGTCCGAATCTCTCCTTTCGTCAATGCGGGAGCCTGCTGGCACGCATCAGCGCCGCGCCCTGAACGGCGGGCATTCGGAGCTGCTGCAACGTAGGCCCCACTGAAGGCCAAGCCAAACATCATGCTGAGCGCGAGCCGCTGCATGGTAGATGTTGACATTCACGCTGAAGGTTTCTGGGTGCGCGGCGCCGTGCAGCGCCCCCTGGGAGGTCCACGACAGTTTGATACTGGTGTTGCCGTTGAGATCCACGGTGATGGCGGTGATGCGTGTGCTTCTGTGCGCACCCCCGGTGGCGTTGACGCCGATGCACTCTCTTGCGACGTAACCCCATGCCGAGGCAGATGACGACGTCGACGTCGACGTCGACGCCAGACCGATGGTGACTTTGATGCGGATTCCTGCGTCGATTGATTGGCGACATGATGATGGCAACCTGTGATGCCGAAGACATTGTGCCCGCGGATCCGACGGCGCTGCTAGTGCTGACGTCGCTGTTTGATCGAATGTCTGAAGCGCTACAGTGCTGCTTGCGCTGAAGGTTTTTCGCTCTGAGATTCCCCCACTCTTTCCCGCCGCCTTCCCCAGCCCCTTCACTTTCTAATTCCCCCCTGCCGCTGGGCGCGCGGCGATCTCGAAGACCCCTGGCTGCTTCTCTCGGCGGCGATCTCGGCCTCGCGGGTCTACGGCCCAGCGCGACCTTCAGGGTGGGCGGGGGGCGGTTCGGGGGGGCGGGGGTGGGGTGGGGTGGGGGGGGCCACCCACGCCAGCTCCTTGATGCGTTTTCTCCTTCATATTCCCCCCCAGACCAGGTCAGCGGGACGGCGAAGTACCCGCGGCAAAAATCAAACAATGCAGGCCCATTCCGTCGCAACGAACCGGATGACGAATATGATGGCGATGCTGAAGGACTGGGCGCAGGCGCGCTGTGATGGCGATAACCAGATGGTTTGTTGGATGCTCTGGGCCCACCTCCAAGTCTACAGTTCTAGTTCTGAGCGCAATGTGCCGCAAGTGCATCTAAGGTCCAAGGTCCCGTCACAGTCTCTGACGGATTGGCTGGCATACGCGGCATCATGCGCAACTTACTGCGCAGGCAGCGCCTGTATTTGAGGGCAAAAAAAGGACCCTACCCTGGGTTGCAAGTGCGTGGTCTGTAAACCCCACGGGAGCCCCCAAAACCTAGAGCCGCCAGGACGCGGCGCATCACGCAGGGTTTACCCTGTCAGCCGACAGGAGTTTCAGCGCACAGCCCCTTGTAAACCAGGGTAGGGGCGTTTCTTTATACCCTTGATTTATGCGAGAAGACGGCGGCTTGCCAACTCCCAGCTCAGCTGCTTTACTCGTCTTGCGCTCGAGACGTCTGCGCTTGCACGCCGCTTCCCGCTCGAGCCACTGGTTGTGAGCATCGAAAAGAATCCACCAATGCATCTGGAAGTGCCCGCGCGTCATCTCGGAGCCCGTTCCTGGTCCTGCCGCTAATCCATGAATTTAGTTGTTCACATGCCTCTGTGTTTTTACCTTCTAATAACTTCTCGTTCTCCGGCCTCAGGGGGTCCACCTCTGGCATCTTGTTCAAGCACCGCGCGTGGTTGTCTCGGTGGAACCGGTCCAACACCATGCGCACTTCGTCCACGAAAGACCGCGCCCACGGCAAGTAATCTTCTTTCTTCACCCGGGCAAGCGACAAGAGCTTGCAAGCATTATCGTATCCCAGAGCCGCAATGACGAAGCCCAGCTCGCGGGCATCCTGTTCAGTGGACGCCGGCGCCTGCCCGCTCTGCTCAGACCCCGCCCCGCCCACCCCCGAAAAGGGGGGCCCTTAGTCTCGCTCTCGCTCTCCTCTCTCTCGTCTCTCGTCTCTCGTCTCTCGTCTCTCGTCTCTCGTCTCTCTCTCTCTCTCTCTCTCTCTCTCTCTCTCTCTCTCTCTCTCTCTTTTTTGTTCCTCTTTCTCTCTCTCTCTTGTTTTTTTGTGGTCTCTCTCTCTCTTCTCTCGTTCTCTATCTCTCTCTCTCTCTCTCTCTCTCTCTCTTCTCTCTCTCCAATATATTATATGTGGATATATATAGCTCTCTCTCTCTCTCTCCTCTCTCCTCTCTCTCTTCTCTTTCTTTTCTTTTTCTCTTCTCTCTTCTCTTTCTCTCTCTCTCTCTCTCTCTCTCTCTCTCTCTCTCTCTCTCTTCTCTATTATATATAATATATATACTACACATACACATACTTTTCCTCGTCGACCTCTCTCTTTCTCTTTCTCTCTCTCTCTCTCTCTCTCTCTCTCTCTCTCTCTCTCTCTCTTCTTCTCCTCTCTCTCTCTCTCTCTCTCTATACTCTTCCTCTCTTCCATGCCCCATGCTATCTATTCCCTTCTTTTGCCTTGCTCGACCTCCCCCCCCTCCGATCCCCCCCCCCCCCGCCCCCCGCCGCGCCGCCGCCCCCCTTTTCTCTCGACGCCTGCCGATTTGGAGGGGGGCGGCTGGCATGAGCAGAACCTCAGGCGTCGCCGCCTGTCCTTGTGAAGCCGCGGCGCGAACGCATACGCCAGCTCGATGGACTCGCCTCGGAAGAGCTCCATCCAGTCCACCAACAAGCCGCGCGATGTCACTGCTGTCACGACGCCGCCAGTGCAACGTCTGACTCTGTTGCTTCCGTGGAGTTTGTCAACGCCGCACGCCTGGATGGATTCCTCCTGCTTGTCGTCCAGGGCTAGCCGCCCCCTGCAGCGGCTACTCAATGAGCGGAACTTGCTGGCGTCGCTGCTCACGTCGGCCGCCGCCGGCCGCTTCGTCGACTTGGCGCGAGCTGACTGCCTCGGCGCTGTGGCGGCCGGGCCTCTGCCGACGCCAGCTCTTTTTACTCGGCGCGAAGTGCCCGCAGCCTTGCCCCGCTTGCTCGCTGCCCCGCCAGTCGTCGGGGCTCGAACCTTAGCAGCGGGTCCGCGCTGAGCCTCCTTGCCTCCTCTCTGGGCGTCTGCGCCACGACTCGCCCCGACCGAGCTGGGCGGCCCGCAAGCCGACGACTGCTTCGTCAGCCAGCGCGAAAGTTGCCGGGCCCCCTTGATCCACGCGGGGCGTGTCTTCTTGTTGCCGTGGTCCCCTCTGTTCCGAAGCAGCGACTTCTCGAATTCCGCCAACAGTTCCTTGCGCACCTCGGCTCGCGGTAAGTGCGCCTCGAAGGGCCGCTCGGGCAAGTCGGGGTCGTGACATCGCACCACGTAGCGCAGCGCTGAGTCGCCGCTGGACGCCGATCCGGGAGCAGCGATCCCCAAGATCTTCTCCTGGGGGATCATATGCGCTTGCTCTATGGTCGACGGCCGGCACCATTTACAGAAGAACTGCTTCGTTGGGGCATTTCGTTGGCAGCCTGTGTACAGCTCCAGTTCCAGACCCTGCATGGGTTCATACCCCTCCAAACCGCCGCAAATGAATCGACGGGCGCCGTGCTTGCCATCAAGCAAAACGACAAGCTTGCCGACGCATTTCGGACACGTCCGCACGTGTTCTGCGACACGCGTTAAGTGCGCCTGACGCACACATGCCGCGATGCTCGTAAGGCCGCTTTCTATGCCGTCTGGCGTGAACGACCACCCGATGCCCCTAGCGCCGGCACCTGCCAAACGGATGGCGTCGTGCAAGTACCACGCGTCCTCCAGACGCACACGCGTGTGGCACGTCTGTGTCATATCCTCGCCCAGAATGAGGTTTTGCTGCGCCTGCTCAGGATGCTTACCCGCCCACACGTGGATTGCGGAGGTGAACGTGCCGCCGCTATGGTGCAAGTCCTCAGTGATGAACTGCAGCAGCTGTAGGTCGACAGCGTACCATGCTTTCTCACGGGGCACCACAACATATGGCAAAGCAGTTTGCGTGACCACGGTGGTGATATCAGTCATCTTGCCGAAATTTGCACGACCGCCGCTGCCTGCATTTTTCTTTATTTCCAATTGCCAATGAAATAATACCTGCAGGACGGGCAGTACTCCTCACGGAAAGTGCAGAATTGAACACCTGCTCCGAGAGTGTACACTCGGAAACGAAACTCGCACGACCTGGCATCTGCGTTCCCTTCTTTCCAATTTGCCGCAATGCTGCCTCTGCTTTTGCCTGTCTGCTTCACCAGCTCCGTTGTTTGACATTCTGGGCACCACCCGTGTGTAGATGGGAGACATACTGTCTCCGATTCTAGGCACGCAGCTTGCATCTCCTTCAACACTGGGTTGTTCAGGTCGTAGTCGTAAGCACATCCAACTCCAACATACGATCGCAGCTTCCACAAAACACTATTGATAATGTTTTCTCTGGCTTCAACGTTGTGGTTCTGGCGCAAACAAGCCTTCACAAATGGCGGGGCCAACTCCCTCGGCACGCACGACAAGACGCGTGCCAGGACTTCAAACGCAGCCGTTGGTAGCGGATGCATCAACGTTCTGAAAGAGAAGTCCACCCCGGCGTCACTTGCCATATCCGCTATTCGCACGGGCTCTGGACGTAGGTAGCGAAACCTCGGCGCGCGTGCGCAGGCCAAGACTTGATCAGTAACGTGGCGGCCACAGGGCGTATCTTATGGGAACAGCGACGATGATGCTGATGTTCAAAAAGATGGTGATGTATTGCTTACGAAGATGACGATAACACCGGTGATGATGATGGCAGTGATGATGATGCTGTTGGGGGTGATGATGGTGATCTTGATGCTGAGATCGACGATACTGGTGGTGTTCACAGGTCGCACGAGTCCAGCAGGCCCCACGGGTCCCACAGGTCCCGCAAGTCTCATTGGTCCCACAGGTCCATCAGGTCCCACAAGCATCACTGGTCCGGCAGGCCCCACGGGTCCCACAAGTCCAGCAAGTCCCACAGGTCCGGCAGAGCCCACGGGTCCCACAGGTCCGGCAGGTCCCACAGGTATCACAGGTCAGGCAGGTCCCACAGGTCCAGCTCGTCCGTGCCAAGTCGAACCGGAGAATGCCTGAAGCAAAAACTCCAGGAAACCCCAGGGAACCCTGGGGAACCTCGCATCCCCGGGGGGGCCCCGGCTCCGTCCTCGCAGTTTCTTTTGCGATCTCCGGCGGCGAAGGTGGGGTGAGGGAGGGGCCGGGTCAGAGAGCGCAGCCCGTATGATGACGAGGATGACGTTTTCTCCTCCTGTGGTGGCGGCCGCGCTTTCGGCCGGCCACGCTGGCGTCCCGGGGGGGGGGGGCGGGAGGAAGGGGGAGGGAGGGGGGGGCGGAGCGGGAAAAGGCTCGGGAAAGAGGGAGCGGGTGGAGGGAAGGAACAGGCTCGGGAGGAAGGGATCCGATTCTGGAGGGGGCGGGAACAGTTTAAAAACTTAATTTCTTAATTGGGGCAAGGGGGCCAACACACACACACACACACCACACACACACACATACGCACGCACACGCGCCACGCGCACGCACTCGCGCACGCGCCCGCGACGCGCACGCGCACGCGCACGCGCCCGCGCACGCGCACGCACGCACGCACGCACGCACGCACGCACGCACGCACGCACGCACGCACGCACGCAAACACACACACACAACACACACACACACACACAAACACACACACAAACACACCACACAGACACACACAACACACAAACCACACACCACACAATGATCGGGAAAAGAGGAGGCAGGAGGAGGGAGGGAGGGAAGAGGGCGGGAGGGAAGAAAAGAAGTGGAAGGAGGAGGGGGGGAGACAGGGGGAGGAGGGAGGGAGGAGGTAGGAGGGAGGACAGAGGAGGGAGGAAGGGAGGAGGGAGGAGGGCGGAGGAGGAGGGGAGGGAAGGAGGGAGGAGGGAGGGAGGGAAGGAAGGGGGGGGGAGACAGGAGGGGGGAGAGAGGAGGGCGCGCCGGACCCGACCAACAGGACAGGAGGAAGTGGGAGGTACGGCGAAGGCGGCGGAGGAGGAGGAGGAAGAGGAGGAGGAGGAGGAGAGGAGGAGGAGGAGGAGGAGGAGGAGGAGGAGGAGGAGGAGGAGGAGGAGGAGGAGGCGGGGGAGGAGGAGGAGGAGGTGGGAGGGGAGGGGGCGGGGGGCGACGGGCAAATAATATTTACGTGGCAGAGGGGGGAGCGGGAGGAGCAAGGGGGAGGGAGGGACAGAGCAGGAAGAGGCTCGGGAAGGAGGGGGCGGGTGGAGGGAGGGAACAGGCTCGGGAGGAAGGGGTCCGATTCTGGAGGGGGCGGCAACGACTTAACAACTTAATTTCTTAATTGGGGCAAGGGGGGCAAACAAACAATTATCGGGACAAGAAAAACACGA